ACCTTTGTGTATGTAGCAGTGCCGGAAACTGGAAGAACTGGTCTTCCATTTTCCGGCGTGTGCATGCCTGCCAGCAAAGCTGATCAGCATGTGCGCATGCGCAGCAGTAACTGGAAGACTTAGTGGCTGGAAGTACCTTATCCGGCACGCGCATGCCCCCTGGGCAGCTCCATTTCCTGGTCGCTGCCCTGACAAGCACACACACAAAGTGCTCCCTTTTCGGCACTTGGTGCCATGCGCGCGCACTCCCTTTTCGTCTCTCAGTGCCGAAAAGGTGCGCCATCACTGGTCTAGGGCCTGGCAACCTCTCATCTCCCATAGGGACTCTGAGGACACTGTTCTGTCCCCGTCTCACACGCACACATACCAACAGACGTCCAAGAGTTAAAAACCAAACCAGCCAACAAAATCTTTTTCCTTATAACGGAACTTGGCAGCAACCTAGTGGCTGCCTGCCAAGAGTTTATTACTCATGAAGAGATAACGTCTCTCCGCTTCTGGTACATCAAAGTAAAATTTTCAATAATTACCGAGTAATTTAAGTCCAAATATAATCCAGCAAAGTCTATAGCAAAAGTCCGGCAATGCAGAATGGCGTGGAAGCTTTCAGCTTTGTTCGTCACAAGGCTTGACTGGCCACCACACTCCCTTTTATACCCTGTGGGGTGTGGTCCAGTGACTCAGCCTAATCTCGGGCACGCCTTTTCTTCTGTTGTGCGCGCTTATCTCTGCGACGCTGTCGAGGATCCAGCCAAGACTCATTACTCTCATCACTGTCCACCTGTGGCTGCGTGGACATGCTTGGCCCCGGCCCTATCTCTTGCCCTTCGGCGGACACCGAAGGCATTGCCCAAGAGGAGGGTCCTGGAGAGGGAGGCCTTGCCAACTCCTCTCCTTCACTCTTGGAGTCCTCTCCTGCCGATGACACAGGCTCAGGTAACGGAGCCACAACAGACACAGATAAAGCTCCAAGTGCTTCAATGACCCTCTAAAAGGATGCAAATGACCAGCTGTCTGCAAGGAGTATAAATCCTTCCATTGCCCACTATCCTGTCAAAGCTGAAGAAGCTTCTTGGATGAGAAGCGAAACGTCTTCAAAGAAAAACCAGAAAGTTCAGTTGCCTCCTGAAAAAGAACCTTTGGGACAACCATGACCTGGATGACTGAGAATCTCTACAGACTTTTAGCAATAAAAGCCTGAGTGGCATAGGAGGCTAATGCCTCCTACAAAGGCAGCATTTAACATCCAGCTGCCTGCAATTACTGCGAGTTCAATTCTCACCAGGCTCAAGGTTGACTCAGCCTTCCATCCTTTCTAAGGTAGGTAAATTGAGGACCCAGTTTGTGGGGGCAATAAGCTGACTTTGTATAAATATACAAAAGTATGAAGGCTATTGCTTAACGCATTGTAAGCCGCCCTGAGTCTCCGGAGAAGGGCGGCATATAAATCTAATTAAAAAAATAAATAAATACAATTTGGGATGAACACCCTTTGAATGGTGTGGGAGTAGGAACAGATTTCCAGAGGAAAAAATTGCAGACTACAGGAACCAGGAGCACTTGCTTCTCCTTGAACCAAGTTCCATATCCCTGGATTTTAGCCTAAGGTCTCCGAACGACATGTGCAGTAAATCCAAACCATAAATTAAAACCCCCACGAATCAATAATTCATATAGACGGTACATGCACCTACGCACACCTACACAGGCAGTCATTAAATTGGGCCAGGAAGGAAGGAATTTTTAATACACAAATTGGTGCCCTTTCATTGCCTCACCAAATAGGCGGAATGAGACGAATGGCCCTAATAAATCATTTTTGGAATATTAGCCTAGCAAAAGGTGCCTTGGATGTCAACCATATCTGCGTATCAGCATTAGTAATAAAACCATCAAATGGTCCTTCAGGGACTTCCCCTCCTTGACTTGCAGTCACAGTTCCTGAATGCAAAAAGACTGCCTCATCCACCCCATCCAAGGGAACGTTCAGTTAGAAGGATTACATTTCAGGATCATTTGAGCAAAATGGTAGATTTATTAAAATATTACTTCCTACAGCTCCCGCCACACTGGGATCACTTCCAAGGGCTGTTTCAGCAATGAACGTTTTAGGCAAGTCTTGATTGGTGTAGCAGATGACAACTACAAAGTCATCTGAATTGAATTCTACTGAGCGTATGTAAATGTATTTATTATCTGACCAGACATACTCGTGTTTCCCCGAAAATAAGACCCACCCTCTCTCCCTCTCTCTCTCTCTCTCTCTCTCTCTCTCTCTCTCTCTCTCTCTCTCTCTCTCTCTCTCTATATATATATATATATATATATATATATATATATATATATATATATATATATAAATAAAAATTTGATTTATATGCCGCCCTTCTCCGGAGACTCAGGGCGGCTTACAGTGCGTTAAGCAATAGCCTTCATACTTTTGTATAGTCATACAAAGTCAGCTTATTGCCCCCACAAATCGGGTCCTCAATTTACCTACCTTAGAAAGGATGGAAGGCTGAGTCAACCTTGAGCCTGGTGAGATTCGAACTTACAGTAATTGCAGACAGCTGGTGTTAATCACAATGCTATCAGTCTGCTGAGCCACCAAGCCCTATATTTTTTTGAACCCCAAAATAAGCGCTTGGCCTTATTTTCGGGGAGGTCTTATTATTTTGGGGCGCGTGGAGCAAGATGGGGCTCCTCTTGCCATCTTACCTGATTTCCAGGTCTGCATTTAAGTATTTTTGGGGAGGGCTTATTTTCGGGGGGAAGCTTATTTTAGCGCATGCACTCAAAAGCCCAATTGGGCTTATTATCAGGGGATGTCTTATTTTCGGGGAAACAGGGTACTTATACTGAATATACAGACCAATATATTTATTACAGAGAGTTCTTTAAAATTGCAACAGTTCATTCAAAGTTACGATGACACTGGAAAAAGTGACCAATAACTGTTTTACACACTTACGACTGTTGCAGCATCCCCAAGGCCGCATGATCAAAATTCAGAAGCTTGGCAACTGGTTTCACATTTATGATGGTTTGCCGTGTCCTGGGGGGTCATGCAATCTGCTTTTGCGACCTTCTGATGAGCAAAGTCAATGGGGAAGCCAGATTCGCTTAACAACCGGGTTGCTAACTTAACAACTGCAGTGATTCACTTAACAACGATGGCAAGGAAGGTCGTAAAATGTTGGGCAAAATTCACTTAATAGCTGTCTTGCTCGGCAACCGAAATTTGGAGCTCAACTGCGATCGTAAGTCGAGGACTACCTGTTCCACACTTATTACAGGAGGAGGAGGAGGAGGAGAAGGAGGAGGAAGTGAAGGAGGAGAAGGAGGAGGAAGTGAAGGAGGAGGAGGAGGAATAAAAAGGAGAAGAAGGAGAAGGAAGTAAAGGAGGAGGAGGAAGTAAAGAAAGAGGAAGAGGAAGAAGAAGAAGAAGAAGAAGAAGAAGAAGAAGAAAAAGAAGAAGAAGAAGAAGAAGAAGAAGAAGAAGAAGAAGAAGAAGAAGAAGAAGAAGAAGGAGAAGGAGAAGAAGAAGAAGAACAAGTAGTAGTGCTACTACTTGTGGAGGGAGCAAAACTAAGCACATTGGAAGAAATTCATAATCTGTCCTTTTTTTATTATTCTCAGGCCATGCACTGCTCTACAAGTGAGAAATTCAGTCTATTGCCATAGCTTGATCGTAAAAGTTAGAATAAATGAGCAGAGTCCAGGAAAGGCAATGACCCACGTAATAAGGGGTTGCTGAAAATTACTCTTTTGGTTTATTGCTCCAAAGGCTTTTCTCTAGAAATGAGCTAAAGGAAGAAGAATGTCTGGAGCAAAGGGAGTGAGAATCAGGAGCCTGCTCTGCATTTTAACAATAGGTGCTGTTACAGTTTTGGCTTTGCTTATGAACGAATAGCAATAGCACTTAGACTTATATACCACTTTACAGTGCTTTACAGCCCTCTCTAAGTGGTTTACAGAGTCAGCCTATTGCCCCCAACAATCTGGGTCCTCATTTTACCCATCTCGGAAGGATGGAAAGCTGAGTCAACCTGGAGCCTGGTGAGATTCGAACTGCCAAATTGCAGGCAGCCGGCAGTCAGCAGAAGTAGCCTGCAGTACTGCACTCTAACCACTGCGCCACCGTGGCTCATACAGCTGACAGGATTAACAATAAGACATTCAACTTCGGCACAGACTGACTCTGAATTAACCCAAACCAGGAATTTTAATTACAGGTTTGATCACAATTTGTTATACAAACCAGACTAGTACAATTGACCCATCGCACCAAGCCACAATGGTGGTTTCAAACATTATACCCCGGGCATAAACAAACCAACTACATTAACATTGGTGGCATTTGTGAATTAGGACATATGATGCTATTGGGTTGCATATGCAAATCGTTATCTGTATTGCATGATCTGCAATTTGCTATTTTTTTTAAAAAAAATAAACCTGTGTAAATATCTGCCTTCCAATTTATTTTGGTTGATATCTTGGTTGCAAAAAGAAAGAAAAACCCAAGAAATCTGGCCATCTCATGCTTCTCCAAATGTAAGATGCGGACTTTTCTTTGGGAAGAATAAAAGCCAAACTTCATTTTTGCTGTTACTCACTGGATCGCAAGGTCCATTAGAAGGAAAAACCTAAATCTTATCTGCAGCTAAATCTATTGTAAGAATTCTTCTACATCCTTGGCCTTAGCAGATACCGTAGTGAGGTAGAAAATAAGCTACTCAGTCTTGCTGTTGCCCTTTTACTCATCCTGGAGTTTATTTTAATTTAAAAAAAATGTACATCAAAGAAACAAGACATGTCCATTATGGTGGCTAAAACTGTAGTTTCTTTCTTTATCATTCTCAAAACTGGATTTTTCTTGCTGAAACAAGAACATTTCTAATTGAGCCTAAAGAGAGAGAAACATATAATCCAGAAAAAAAAAAGAAAAAAAGAAAGAAACCCAACCTGGGGGAAAAGATAAAACTGATTTTAATTACCTTCAGAATTATACAGGGATTTGCTCTGGTGTACATTATAATTCCGTTGCTTTGCAGAGTCCTCAGACGGAGGCCCAATTTGAATTCTTCATTCTTGCTATTTTCAGAAACCCGGTATTTGATGTAACTGTTCCCAGCAAAGCTCAGGGAAGTGTGTCCTGAAATAACCATTTAGAAAACAGATTACAGAGTTCTATTTTGTGCCTTCTGAAACCAAACATTGGAGATTATCCAATCCTTTACACCAAGGGGGAAAAGAAAGTTAATTAAGGAAGATGCTTGGTTAACAAGGCAGATAAGGAAGAATCTAAAAAAAACCCAAAAACAAACCACAACTTTGACAGTTTAAAAACCTGCCCCTGTAGTATGCACACCCCATGCCAGGAGTATCAAACTCGATTTCATTGAAAGCCACATCAGGGTTATCTTTGACCTCAGGGGCGGGGGGGGGGGGGCTAGAGTGGGTGTGGCCAGTTTGATGTCACTTGTGTCAGGGCATCTGTGGCAGCCCGAGTACGCTGCCGGTGAAAACAGGCTCCCAAGCTCCGTTTCCGGCTGCAACGACCTCCTGCAAACCCTTTTGCCAGTGAAAACGGAGCTCACGAGGGTCGTGCGTGGTCCTCCCAAGCTCTGTTTTTGCTGGCAGAGGCACCGGGGGCCGGTCCTTCACTGTTTCCAGGGCGGCCCCGCGTGCCAGATCTAAGCACCCTGCGGGCCGGATCCAGCCCACGGGCCTTGAGTTTTGACACCCCTGCTCTATGCTGATAAAGATCGATGCACTTCTTTCTTAGTAAGAATGATTGCTGTGCATAAAACAATAGTAATCTATTGGTAGTGAATGAACAAGACTGTAAATCAAATATTATGCGGTAGGGTGGGTTTTTTTTTATTTTTATTTTTATCATAACAACAAAAGCAATGTTCGACCACACCCTTTTTGATTGACTAAGGAATTCTGGGATTTGAAGTCCGTAAGTCTTAAAGTTGCCAAGTTTGGAGACCCCATTTTAGAAAAATAATGGGTCATTATGGTGGAATGTAGTCTGGATTCCCAATAGGGAGGCCATGCAAGTAGCTGCTTTAGTTTGGCAAGACTGATGTAAGGCCCCAAGAACCAAGAAAGACACCTTGAGTTACTTCTGAAAGGTTTCCTCCACAGAAATCTTCCCAAATGGAAAAAAAAACCCCTACTTACATCATTAAATATATATTCTCAACTGCTAAGGAGGAGCTGTCTTAACTCTCTTTCTTCCAACCAAACTATCTAAACTTCATGGTCTCTTGGTTCTCTGGAATGTAGCCCCTCCCTCCTGGGAATCCAGACTACATTCCACCACAGTCTTTCTGACATGTTGAATTCAAGAAGGTTTAGAACAAGGGTGTCAAACTCAATTTCATTGAGGGCTGCATCAGGGCTGTGGTTGACCTCGAGGAGGCTGGGGGGAGGGCGTGGCCAACTGGGCAGGTGTGGCCAACGGGATGGGCGTGGCCAGCTTGACGCCACTCCCCAAACTGCTGGTATGTTTCCGCTTTGCATTGGGTAGGCCGGGCCGGACCAAAGTGATGTGGGCCGGCCTCTAAATTTTCCAGGAGGACCCTGCCAGCCTTCTGTTTGGCACCCTTGGTTTAGATGAAAAGACTGACAGGACTTTTAGACCTGAACAGGGGTGGGCTTCAAAAATTTTAGCAAGGGGTTCTCTGGCTGGCTGCTGCGTGGGCATGGCCTACTCGGCCTCCTGCACCACGGCGGGGGCAGGGGGGGCATTTTTGCTTTCCTCAAGCCTCTGGGAGGGCGAAAATGGCCTCTCCAGGCTCCGGAAGCAGGAAACAAGCCCATTTCCAGCCTTCCTGAACTTCCAGTAGGCCCATTTTTTGCCCTACCCAAGCCTCCGCATGAGCCCTGCACTTACCTGTATCCAAAACGGACCACGTGGGGACTCCTGGGAGGGGCGGGGCAGGGTGGGCAAGGCCATCCAGGTGTGGAATTTGGGAGTTCTTCAAACTGCACAGAATCTTACCTAGAGGGTCTCCCAAACCCCTGCGAATCCCCAGCAGCCCACCCCTGGACCTGACCAAGAAGATACAGCAGCAGCAGAGCAAATTATGTACCTGAGCATTCTCCAAGTTTTCCAGGTGGACACTGACAGATGAAGAGTCTCTGGTTGATTTCGTAGCCTACACACTGCATATCTCCTGGGCAAGGCTTTTCTGTGCAAGGATCATTAGAGCCTGGACACAGTCCTCCTGTTGTACAAGTGAGAAGGTAAGAAACAAGACTCTCTTTATCCACATTCGAAGTCAGATGTTCTTAATGCCCATTAACTTTTCACTTACATGATCTTCAGACCAGACAAAATTATAATTTGATTCCTTTGAGGATCAGTGGTGGGATTCTACTGGTTCGGACCGGTTCAGGCGAACCGTTAGCTCTGACTTTCAGCCGTGAGCGAACCGGTTCTCTCTTTCTTTCAAGTGGGCCCGCCCACCTGCCCCTGCTTTATACTTACCTATATTTCTGATTCTGAAGCCCAGCTGATCAGGGCGGCAGAGTGGATTGCCGCTCCTCAGCTGTTTTCCTTGCTCTCAGTTCAATTTTCTGCAAATTGCGCATGCATGCAAAGTGCGCGCTCAGCAAACCGGATGTTAAACCGGTAGGATCCCACCCCTGCTGAGGCCATGAACAGTCTCTAAAGGCAGTAAAGGCTGAAACTGTAGAAAAGCTATAAAATGATTGCTTCCCTCCTGACCAAGTCATGTTAGCTGACTCCACATATCAATATAAATTGAACCTGAAATCTAAGCTGTTCTGGAAATCCCATAGCAGGAAAACATACAACAACAACAAAAATACACTATCAAAATGCGATTAAAAGAACAGAACCTGAATCTAAATAAAAGAACCAATAAATATTTAAATAAAAGGGCAAGTGCCTGAAAATACAGCTAGAGTCTATGGAAGATTGAATGGAAGATAAATAAGTTAATGAAAAAAAGGTTGGGTGAATTGCAAATTACAACAGTACTGGGATACGTCTGATTTACTTTGCCCGTGTCATGCATGCAAATATTATTGGAGAAGTTAACGATGCTAGGAATGAACAGGAAAGGTGAAGGTCTCGGAACAGAATGGAATAACATAGTTGGAAAGGACCTTGGAGGTCTTCTAGTCCAACCCCCTGCTTAAGCAGGAGACACAATATCATTCCAGACAAATGGCTGTCCAGTCTCTTCTTAAAAGCATCCAGTGATGGAGCAACCACAACTTTTGAAGGCAAGCCGTTCCACTGGTTAATTGTCCTCGCTGTTAGGAAATTTCTCCTTAGTTCTAGGTTGCTTTTCTCCTTGATTAGTTTATTCCACTTGATTAGTGGGACAAGAAGAAGGGGCACCAATACGGGCTTGATAACATCAAAACTAATACCTGTTCTGTCCCCGTACCCCACATGCACCCCCATAGACGGCCCGGAGTGAATAAGCCACATGACAAAACTCTTTGAAGATAAAGCTGGCAGCAACCCAGTGGCTAGCTGCCAATTCAGACTTTATTCACACAAAACAAAGATTAGACTGCCAGCATTCCGATAAAACAGGCAGAGTGTCAACAATACAAGGATTAATCCAAATGCAGTCCGATAAAGCAGGCAAAGTCCAGTAACACAGAGATCATGGAGTATTTCCAGTTTTTGCTCGTCACAAACTGAACCGGCCACCACACCCACATTTATACCCTGTGGGGTATGGTCCAGTGACTCAGCTAATCTCTGGCACACCTTCCCTTCTGCTGTGCACGCTTCTCCCTGCGCCTCTGTCGTGGGTCCAGCCAGCACTTATCTTCTTCATCGCTGTCCACTTGTGGCTGCGGGGATGTGCTTGGCTCTGAGCCTATCGTTTGGCCTTCGGTGTCCTCCGGAGGCATTGCCAGAGAGGAGGGTCCTGGAGAGGGAGGCCTTGCCAACTCCTCTCCCTCACTCTCAGAGTCTGCATCTGTCGATAGCCCAGGCTCAGGCAATGGAGCCACAACAATACCGAGATGAATATCTAACAACTAAAAGAAGCTGTGCTTGGAAAGGTAGCATGGAGATCACTTGCCTACCAAGTCGCCGAGAGTAGGCCGTGACTGAATGGTTAAAACAACAATACACAACAACACAATACTGGGAATTTATCTGCCTAATCTAAGAAGATGGATATGGCTAGAAGAAAGGTCTCTGAAGAAAAATAAAACTAAAGTGGCGGCTGGTTTATGGCAGCTTTTCACACTTACTTCCATTGTAGCATCCCCAATCATGGTCATGTGATAAAAATTCAGACATTTGGCAACTGAGCAGGGGTGAAATGCTCCCAGTTCGGTCTGGTTCGCCCAAACCGCTAGTAAAAAAGTCTACTGGTTCATCGAACCGGTAGTAAAAAATGTAAAAAAAAAAAGTTCTGACAATCAGCTGAGCAATGTGCAATCGTTGGAACTTTTTAAAAAAACTATTTTAGCATTTTTTTACTACCGGTTCTCTGGAACCGGTAGTTAAAAATGCTTTAAAAAGTTTTTTTTTTAAAAGTTCCGAAGATCGCGCGTCGCTCAGCTCATCGTCGGAACTTTTTTTTAAAAAACTTTTTAGGCATTTTTTTTACTTCCGGTAGTAAAAATGCTTTTAAAAAGTAAAAAAAAGAGGCTCCGATGATCACAGCTGTGGTGTGCGATCGTCAGAGCCTTTTTTTTTTTACTTTTAAAAGCACTTTTTTACAACCTATTTGGCTGAATAGGTTGTAAAAAATTACTTTTAAAAGGTAAAAAAAAGGCTCCGAAGATCGCGCGCCACAGCTGATCACCTCCCCGCACGCTGTTCTACTTACCCCATGCCTCCTTTTGGTGTGCATTGCGCACGGGGGCACCTCACATTTGGTGTGTGGTGTGTAATGTTCATGCGCGTGCAGCGCACATTTGATGCACAGCGCATACGTGCAGCCATCGAACCGGTAATAAACCGGTTCAGATTTCACCACTGCAACTGAGTCATATTTATGACAGTTGCAATATCCCCGGGTCATGTGATCACCTTTTAAAACCTTCTGACAAGCAATATCAAGTGGGAGGCCACTTAACAACCGTGTTACTAACTTAACAAGTGCGGTGATTCACTTCACATCTGTGACAAGAAAAGTCATACAATGGGGGCTAAACTCATTTAACAACTATTTTGCTTAGCAACTTAAATTTTGGGTTCAATTGCGGATGTAAGTCAAGGACTTCTTGTATAGATACCTGCAAAGGTCATAAATGTGAGGATTGTTCATAAAATTGCTTTCTCATTATTGCGGCAACTGCGAACAGTTGCTAAATAAGGCAGTTGCCAAATGAAGATTACCTCAAAACATAATAATTTCATAGAAGGCGAACAGTCTGCCACAACTTCAGTATGATATAATGGTTGATATTTTAGCCCAGGTGACCTTGACTTGATTATCAAATTTTTCTTTTCAACTATTTTCATTAAAAAAAAAAAAAAGAATCTGTTGCCTTCCTACGTTCTGGTACAACAATACTGAGTAATTAACAATACTCACCATTTTAAAATATGGGTTGAAAAGTTAAATATCACACTTCTGATTTAAAAACAATGTATTTCGTTTTCAAAATAAAAGTAACATGATAATATTGTTTTTTAAATGTTAAGTATATATATATTATTGCTGAATACCCGTGCTCCGCTATGAAACTATGTGATCGGGCTTGATAAATCGACACTTACAGCTTGAAAATTAATGAGTAGTTACGATCGGCCTCTCCTCTCCCCTTCTCTCCATCAGCCTTACCCCACAGAAGCCTATCCTATCCTATCCTATCCTATCCTATCCTATCCTATCCTATCCTATCCTATCCTATCCTATCCTATCCTATCCTATCCTATCCCCCTTCTCTCCCTCAGGCATGCCCCACAGAAACCTTCCCTCTCCTATCCCCTGCTTGCTACTGTGAAAGTTAAACTGAAACTCCTCTCCTCTGCTTGTGTTTTGCATTTGGAACAGATTTCTTTTCAGGTGGGGAGGGGGAGTAGAACTCCTTAGCATCAGAGGGCTGTTTGGAAAGGGAAACAGTATTTGCTGTGTGAGGAAGAAGGAGACAGGAAGGAGCCTGGGCATGGCTTAGCTCAACTGTTCTTTAATAAAGCTGCTTGCTGCTGTGAAAGTAAAACTGAAACTGAAACTCCTCTCCTCTGCTTGTGTTTTACATTTGGAACAGATTTCTTTTCAGGTGGGGAGGGGGAGTAGAACTCCTTAGCATCAGAGCATGTTAATAGTAATATAGGAAATACTAATGCTCTGATCGTCATTTCAAAAAATTCTTTTTTAGTGAGCACCTAGAAGCCAAGAGGAATATACGTGGCAAATTTCAAGTTTGTAGGCTTTACGGTTCTGGATATTTTGTGATGATGCATGAGTGGTATTTCGCTTTTATATATATAGATTCTATTATTATAACTGATGCCATAAAGGATGTAGGCCAAATGTGACTCCAGCCAACTTGACATATTTGGTGTTGTGAAGATAAAATGGGAAGGGGGAGATTCACATAAGAACAGCTACTGTGTTTCTCTGAAAATAAGCCCAGGTCTTATAATAATTTTGGCTCAAAAAGATGCATCACACCTTATTTTCCGGCTAGGTCTTATTGGGGAGGGGGGAGGAAACGGTACTAAATGTGTCCGTCTGCCTGATGATCTTAACTGGGGCTTATTTTTGGGGTAGGATTTATATTATGAGCATCCTGAAAAAATCATGCTAGGGCTTATTTTCTGGTTGTGTCTTATTTTCAGAGAAACATGGTACATAGGAATATCAAGTAAAGTATTTGAATGAAACTCCTGTTCCTGGACAATTCCATGTTTATGGAATTAATTTGCCAATGTATCATTTATTTTTTTGGGGGGACTTCCCAATTTAGCCAATAAGTCTATATCTTTTCTAGTATCTTCCACGCAAGCACTAAACAAAATCGAGTCTGTTTAGCTTTTTGAGATCAGATCAGTTTGGTGCTACCATTTAATGGGTGTAGAAATCTAATAACCGGTCAATAAATAGATTTTAGCCTCATTATCAAGGTTGCTTCCTCCCTTGCAAATATTATCAACCACAGTGAATAAACATTACGGAGTTAATCCTTATTTTCACCATGTGTTTTTGAAATGAGCTCAGAGAATTAAGCAGCAGGGTTATAACGTATTTGCTCCCAAAACCAACAATGAATAGTT